AGAGTCACCTAGCCCCAGAAGAAATAACACATTTTCAGTGTTTTCAGTCTTCTGATCTGTTAGTTCTGGTTTAAAACGCATTAGAAGAGGACGATATATGATTTGAACTGAGTATCAGATGGTAGTTATGCCTGAGAAGGATGAGAGTGCAATTGCTCAACGTGTACTGTAAATGCTTCCCCCCTTCGTGTTCTGAGAAAAGTGTAATTTGATAATTTGGGCAAATAGTGACTCAGTGACATCCTGAAGCATTTGTGTTTTTTTGTGTGACTACCACATTGAAGTGCGCTAATCATCGAAAGTACTGACGTTTGAAAAGTGGCTGTTGAAGGTTTCAGAAGTTTTCTGTTGTTTGTTGGGTTTTTCTTGTTATTGTTTTCGTTTCGGCCTGCAGTGTGTGGATTCATGTGAAAGGTATTTAGAAAGTTTGTGGTCTGCGTGCTCGAGTTCATTGTAGAAGCTTTAAATCTCCACTGGAAAAACATTTGTTTGACCTCTTCTGACTTGCAAGCTTGAATAAAACCACCTTCAAACACTGTTGCTGTAGAGGATAAGAGATTTGTGTGCTTATATGAGTGGCAGGGTATTAGAGGTGGTTCCCGCCCTCGGAGGCAGTTGGTGCTGCTGGCTGTGCCTGGTTCTGCCCGTGCAGCTGTGAATGGTGGCGCTTGTGGGGGACCGACAATTGAGAATGAGAACCGGCCACTGGATTTTTCTCCCAAGATGATCACTACTGCTTGTTAAACAGTATCCTATGTTAAACAGTAAAATAAAAGTAAAAGTGAAAGGTTTTGACTCATTTTTGAACTTCATCATTTCTACCCACCACCACACCATCAGGTTTTTCCCTGAATCACTTTTTAAAGAATTACTTCAAAAAAATTTTTTTTTTTTTTTTTTTTTTAGAAAGACACAGTTTATAGTACCTTTTAGTCTGATGTAGTCATGTCTGGATATAGTTAACTGTTGTCAGTTGGAAGAGGCTTTGATTAGCTTGCTTGGTTGAGTCGGTGTATTTTGATTCAGGTAGTCAGACAAAGGAGTTTTATGGCAGTATCTGAAAAGCCAGGTGATTTCTTCCAGAATCTCACTGAGAATATGGGGAAGAATCTGCCAAAGGTGGGAATATCTGCAGGGTCCCTCGATGGGAGGAGGTTTCCCCAGCGTGGCCAAGCAGTTGCCTGTGGACCAGTCTGGTCAGGATGGGGTTGCATGTCTTCTCAGCGCTGTCAAGTAGCCCTTAGGTCCTTGCTGGTTGTTTTTCCTCCTTTTTGTCTCTGGTTATGGCCCTGCCTTTCCAGAGCAGTTTGCCCAAGACTCTGGACTCACCCAGAGATGCAGACCTCCAAGTAGGATACACCTTTCCTTTCCAGTGGCTGCTCCAGCTGCACATGGACTTCACGTGCTGCTCTGGTTTATGCTAGCTTCCTGCCATGTGGTGGCTGGCTGGTGGAGGTGGGGGTTGCTAGGCAGGTAAGCAGCTGGGGGATAAAGGGACATCTTTTGCTTCCCCTCCTGGCCGTGTGCTGCTTTGATTGAATACTTCATCTGTTCTGCTTGTTCCCACTCAGTGGGTCTCATCCAGACACACAGAGCAGGCCCTTGTGAGCAGAGGGACTTGGCTTTCCTTCTGGAGCCTGCAGTGCACAGCCTCACCTCTGTCTATGTCCCCGATGTCAGGGTCTTGGTACCTAGTCGGTGTGGTTGTTAATTATCTGTAGTGGAAGACTGCTGGATACCAGCTATCCTATGCTGGCTGGTTTCAGTAAAAGAAGGAATTGCTCAGGCTGATACTGTATTAATATGGGATATGAAAGTATCCTCTATGTTAACTTGCATGTCTATCTCAGAGTCTAAAACATCTTCCTCTCCATGATGCGCTGCCAGGTTGGCAAAGCAGACGGATGAAATCTGCTGTTTGGAAGTCAGGAATTTTCTGCTTTACCAAATGTAGAGCATTATGCACGTGATACAGTTAATTGCTGCATCTGTAGTAAACGTTCATGAAAGGTGGATTCCTTCATGTTTGGTAAAATTGCTTTCTTACCCATAAAATCAGAAATGTATTTTATTTTAAACTCAAGTAACTGTGTCTAACCAGATGTGCCCTGGAAGACAGCATGTACCATGTGCTTAGTGGCCTGGTTTGCTTATCTGTCCTCCAAAATGTGTGCTTGTGTGTATCTGTGATAGAAAATTAAACAGCTTTTCTTTTAAACTGGTGAGAGAGGGAGTATCAATAAGGCAACTGAGGTAGTGTTTTGGGTCTGAACTATTTGGATGGAAGATGGTCTTGTGTGGTTTTCTCTGTTTTCCGTCCTTTTACCTTTCCTTCACTTCAATATAAAAATATATTCCCAATTAACATAAATGCTTGAATGACAAACATCTGGATTTTCTAGAGAGAACAATGTATTGAATTTAAACATGCTTTATTTCTTGCCTGCTTGCTTTTAGTAGCTGAAAAGAGCAGAAGAGTCACTGAGGCTGCTGATTGGTGTACTTGGTAGGTGTATTCCTTTAACATGGTTTTTGTGCCTGTGCTTTTAAGCTTCATGGTGAACTAGTTGTTCTCTATTTTAACAATATAGTTGCTTTACCTCTGAAAATTTTTGAGGTAGAAAGCTAGTCCCATATATTTATCTAGTAGTTAAATTCCAGGGCAGGTTGTTACTGCTGATAAGGTGGACTGTTTTCACTATTTCTGAATGCTAGAAGGAAAATGTCAAATTATTTTGTTTTTCAAGTAACACTTGGAGTGATGCACTGTAACTTGCATTGCTATGTTTAGTAATTTTCCTGTGTTTTCAAATGTACCAACTAATACTCTTACAGCAAAGGACAGGATATGAATGACTTCATGACAGATTCTGATAAAAGTAGTTTGTTTTTTTTATGTAGTATTTTATTCCAGTAAATAAATTAATTATCTTTTTCTTAGTTGATGTGGTGGTGCTAATCATTCCCTTTTTTTCCCCTCTCGTTTTTGCCACTCTGATATCTGTTGGTTTTGGTTTTCAGGGAATCTATGTAAGTAGACATGGCTCTGTACATCTCAGGTGCTTCTTGTCAGAGGGCACAGCAGGAGAATATTCTGTGCAAGATGTACTTCTTTCTGCAATTATTAGCTTTGAGTTGGAATTTATCTGTATCTGGATGTGTGTGTTTTAGCCTGCTACATCTTGAGTTATTTTTTCTCTTTACAAGAAAAATGCCTGGTGTTCTTCCACATGCCTTTGCTTTTTCTGTCGACCCTGCCTCAGATGTGTGTGGCCCCATGGATGTCCACTGGAGCTGTGCTGCACATGTTGGTTTCCTCTGTAGCTGAGGGCTGCTTCCTGAGGCAAGAAACTTGGGCCTGGGTTGCTGGACCTGTGCAGCTGTGCACGCTTTTTTTTGTTTTCATTTGTATTTGGGCTCCTTTGTTTGGGCTTTTTTTGTTTATGTACACGAAGGGGCAGCATCTTCAGGAAGCCACATTTTATTCCTAGGCTCCATTTATACTCCCTCCTCAAATCTAAACAAATTCACAAACTTTTCAAATGAACAAATAGATGAAACCTTCACCAGTCTGACAGCATTGTGCACTTCCTGCTGGGAAAAAGTGAAGAATGGGTTATATCTTAAATTTAGTGCAGAGGGAGGATTTTGCAGGGGATACATATGCACACTTAGGAATAGGTGAGCTGTTGAAGGATTTAAGTGCTGGTTTAATGCAGTAGAATCAACATTTCTAGTACCTGGTTACTGCTGGCATCACCTTATTCTCCCGCGATCACAATGTGTGTCCGCTTGCAACCCTTTAAAAGTCACTACCATATATTAATTTTTAAGCGCTACACAACCTGTGAATTGCATGTGCACGGAAGAAGCTGGTTTATTTAAGAGCATGTACCTTGAAAGACTGTACAGTATCTTAATAGTAAATGTACCAATTTGAAATTTAGTTAGTGTCTTGCAATGAACGAATTGCTATCTGCTTGGTTTTCTTTGTTCATTTTTGCTGGCTTTTGTCTGCAGGAGTGCAATAAGTAAAAAAGTTGATCTTGGTTTACAAGAGAGTAGCCTGTTACAAACTGTGCCCCAGATTCCCAGTGGAGCTTGAGGATTCATTGAGCTAGGTGCTGTTACACTCATTAAGATCAGATTTTATCATGTTGCAGGATGAATATGGCCTATTTCAAACAGAATCGCAACTTCTCCTTGCACCTACTTTTCTGTTAAGATGGGGTGTTGTACAAAAACCACCTAAGTCTCAATAGCAACCAGTAAATACCCTTGGTACTGCTCATTCACTAAAGCAAGGCTATTTATTTTCTGTTAGGAGCAGAGAAAGCAACTCAGGATCAAAACAAACAGCACTTAATACAATTTGTCATTGAAATAAAGAAAATATATGTGTTTTTTTAAATTTTTTTTTTTTTTTTTTTTAGATTATCCTTAAAGTAATCTGGTTTGTTCTGATTATTTACAAGCTTGGCACCAAAAAGTTAAAATAGTATTAGCAGATGCAATAAGTTGAAACTACTGAAGTTTAGGAAGCAAAGTGCAAATTATTCCTGAAACTAAGTGAGACTAAGTTTATTTTCTGACTACATGAGGTAACAAGAAATCTGTTCTCTATCTGTAGACCAGCGTTGCCTGATTAGCTTCTTGGGTGCAGTCTATGACAAAAGGATGGCCGATTTGCTGTGCTTACTGCAGTTTTCCATTATATTGTTAGAAATATGCAAGATTTCCCCTGCCCCCAAGAGTTTCACTTTCCCTGTGAAACTTTATTTTTAAGCTAATAGTATGATACAGACTTCCTTTGTACTTTGGGTGGAGATACCCAGACAGTGTCTTGCTTGCTGGGTGTAGTCCCTTCGGCTGAGAGCTGCTATTGCAGTAGAAGTTCCACTGCATGTGTGAAGTAGCCCAAGCAGAGGATGCTAATGTATCTGTTTTAATTTTCAGGTTTCCACACTCTTGTGGTTCTTTAGGTTTGTTTTTTTCTTGACATGGTAGGACTGGGAAGCAGCTGCAGAGGGATGAAGTCTCCACCTCTCCTTGTGGCTGCGCTTGTGGCATGCATCATTGTTCTGGGCTTCAACTACTGGATTGCAAGTTCTCGCAGTGTGGATCTGCAGGTAACGGCCCTGTTGCTCTGCATACCTTCTTCAGCTCGTGGGGTTAGTAAACGTAGTCCACAAGAATGATGCCTCTCTGGCCAGGAGCTTCAGCGTGTTGTGGGTATTTTCATAAATATTACAGCTGTCGCTCGTTAGTAGTGGGGAGAACGGGAGGAATGTATGTTTGTCGGTGAGGGGGACCCAGAACTTTCAGACTTTCATGTGTGATACTAGTTACTTCTGCTCACACAAAATATTCAGCTCTCTTGTACTGTTTCAGTTTGCAGATGTAGCAAATGCCATCCTCTATTTTATTTCGTAACTGTAATTGAGACTGGCACTCCATTTGTAATCCGAATGGGCATCTGCAATTTACTCATCTCCCTAGATTTTTTTTTTATGTGACCCATAAGAATGTTTACATACGTTCCCCCCAAGAACAAGGAAACCCAGCTCGATCAGAAACAGCGTCTAAAAATCTGAATATGTGTTTCTTGGAAACCTCTCCTAAAGAGGCCACACAACACACATGGAATATGAGTTGTGAATGAAAAAGAAAATACCTTCTCTGCTATTTTTCTAATGATAACTGTATTTTCTGTGACCGATGAGTTTTGATTTTAATCCTTTTTGGAGTGTGTGTTTAAAGGTGAGAAGTACACGAATAAAGTTTCTTGTTTGTGACAATGTGTGTAGGATGAGGTTTTTGTTTTTAACAAGTAAACCTAAAAACTAGGAGTCTGGTGATGAAACGTGGCCCATGAGAGCTCCTCCCAAGGTTTTTCATATGCACTTTGTAATTGAGCCAAGTTTTAGTACTGAGTTGACTGCTGTAGGAAGCGAGTTCCTATTTCACTTCAGAGTGGGCACTACTCAAAGAGTACACATGTCTTGGGCCATGCAGTTAAAGGTGTGCCTTAGCTTTCCCTTGGTGAAGGGTATGATGCCCTGTCGTCTGAGACTCTGGTCATCCCTTGTCTTCCCTTCAGTCAGGGGCCTCAGGGTGGTCTGGCTGCCAGCAGGTCATAACTGTGCCGGTGCTGCTGAAGCTTTGCTGTATAGCTGTGAGGCAGCTAATAGTGAGGAAAATAAGCTACCACACTAGCTTATCCTTGATGTCAGTAACCTGGAGACAGAAAGTCCTCTTTACTGTTTCTGATTTACTGTATCAACTTGTACATTTCTCCGAAATTTACTTTGAAAATCATTTCACTTCTGCATAGTCATGCACTCTGAATGAAGTAAGAGGATGTCTGGAGGTGTGGATGTGGCTTCTGAAGCACTCTGTCAGCCCATTTGTTTCTTGGGCAGACTTTGCAGCTATTATCACTGAAATGGAATAAATCCTTTGCTTTGCTCTTCCAGCCAAACTGCAAGTTTTTTTCCGTGCCCCCTCCCGCCTTCTCTCCATGCTCTTCCTTTCTCTGGTGAAGAAGCAAAGTAGGCAGGCAGGAATATGCAGCATACTCTGGTGTAAGAAGATCCAGTCCACCTTCTTGGAGTCTTAGAAGACCCACAGTTTTTAGTATACCTATTTTTTTAATCCACGTGGAATCCCTAGGTCTTTCTGCCTGGGTAGTTCTGTTGATATTACCCACCAGCCCCATGTGTGTCTTTATATTCTTCCTTGCTCTTAACTTTTTAACCCAAAATGTTTCGAAACGTTGTCCTGCAAAACTAAATTGGTACTGTACAAAAAAAAACCAAAACCAAACAACAACAACAACAAAAAAAACCACAAATAAAACCAAAACAAAAGCAAACAAACAAACAAACAAAAACACACACACACACAACAACAACAACAAAAAAAAACAACACCAAAAACCTGTGATAGCATCAGGCTGGATTTCTTACCTGATGTCTCTGTGTTTGTATGTGCAGTGTGTGATGGCGGTGAATCCTACTCTGATTGTCTCTGCTCTTTAAGCAATCAAGAAGAACAATGATTTTCTACTTGTAACTGAATTTTTCTCGTGTGTTTTTATATAACAGTCCTATGTTGGTTGTTCATTTTCAAGTTGGTACTGTTGTCCTCCCTCTACTCTTTCCTAGGTGTTCCAGGAAAACATTGATTTGAGAGATGAGTTTACCATCTGAGTTAGTTTAGTTTTGTTAATTTTTTTTAACTCAAGTACTGAAGCAACTTTGCATTTCTCTTATGTTTAACTGAAGTTTTGATGGGCTCAGCAGAATATCCTGTGTGGTTAATTTGTGTAAAACTGATGTGTGTGTGTGGCAAATATCCCGAGCTGACACAGTACTTCAGTGACATTAGCATTGTTAGTTTTATGAAGTTGGGTATTTCTTGAATGTCTTGAACTTCTTGAATTGTCTGCCAAGGGAGAAGCGTTTCATAGAGTCATAGAATCATTTAGGTTGGAAAAGACCTTTAAGATCAAGTCCAAACATTAACCTAACACTGCCAAGTCCCCTGCTTAACCGTGTCCCTAAGCACCACGTTTACACAACTTCTAAAGCTGTCCAGGGATGGTGATTCAGCCACTTCCTTGGGCAGCCTGTTCCAGTGCTTGATTTCTCTTTGTTTTGGCTAATTCCCTTTTCCCTAGGGTCGGATCATGGAACTGGAAGGCAAGGTCCGCCGGGCAGCCGCGGAGAGAAGCGCTGTGGAGCTTAAGAAGAATGAATTCCAAGGGGAGCTAGAGAAGCAGCGGCAGCAGATAGACAAAATCCAGTCCTTGCACGGCTTTCAGATGGAAAACGCCAACAGAGTGCATCAGGAAGAGAAGGTAGGGCCTTTTCTCACCACAGGTTTCTGTAAGACTTGTTTAACAAGATGCTCTCTGCAACAGAATAAGGTTGCTCAGATGTTCCAGCTCATGGACACACAGTCCATGATCATTATACAATATTGAGAAAATGCACACTGAATGCACATTAGAACATTGGTGGTGTAATATGTGAAATAGAAGAAGCTGCAAATAACAGCATTTCTGAGTAAAACCTCTAGCTCCTCTGTGAGTCATTGTTACCAACCCTGGCTTGGCCTCTGGTTGTCTTTCCTGTATACTAATGTTTTAAAACTTAGGGAAAAGAAGAAGTTGCACCCACAGATATATTTGTATTCCCAAATATTTTTGCCTGTATTTATTTGTAGGCTTAAGTGGTTGATATTTATTTCTAAATGCATTCCAAATTTTGTGGCACCTTGGCCTCCTGCCTCCAAACCCTAATAGCACTAGGAGACATCAGAAGGTTATACTAGCCTTTTGTGGCAGTGCTTCTGACAGTGCAATGTTTCCAGATGGATGAGAGTCCTTTGTGAAGAATATGAACGTGCCAACTTTAACAGCAGCATGTACAACTACTACTGTGTAGTATTTTTGTGTATTTTCCTTGTGTTGCTGATGCTGCCTCCTTGGATGTGGCTGTTAGCCATTAATAATCACTTTTCTCACTATTGCTAGAAGTGTTTAGCTGGGACTGTTCATTCTGGGCTTGTTCCTTCTCCTGTAGACTCTCTTGACTGAAGGTTATGGATCAGCTTTCCAGGACTATTATTTTCAGCAGACTGAACAGACAACTGATGATGGTAATAGGTGCTCTTCAGGTGGAGGGTTTACCATCAGGTGACTGTTCACCTTTCAGAACTTGTGGTGCATGAACAAAATATCACCCGGATAATCTTTGAAGGGCTTAGAGGAAAAAAATTTGAATAAAAATGGAAGGGGGAATTGTTTCATTAATATTCACATCAGTGACATATATTTTTAATTTATTTTAAAATCATTTTTCTCCCAGGTCTTCAAAGAAATAATAAACCAATTCTTTTTGCCTCTTTTGAGACAAAAATGTTTCTTTGATAATTTCTCTCTTCTCTTTGGGTTCAGTCGTAAAATGTACTTTAAAAAGGTGAGGTACAGTTTGTCTATATATTTATTTTTTGTAACGTATGGAAAACGTTATCTTGGGATGGTCAGGGAGCATTTGATTGAGTCATCAATCTTGTCACTTCTGCCTCCTAGTAGTGGGCATTACTGCTGAGGTGCTGTGGGTGTTGTTGAAGTTTACTGCCTCTGGGAAGGTATCCCAGTTTACATGTTGGTGAAAGCCATTGTTTTGTTTTGGCATCTGTTTGCATTCCAGTTCTGTCCTGCAAAGAGTGAAAGCTTATCCATGAGGGAAAGGGGAAGGGGGGGAAAAAAGGACAAATGGAACTGAGTATTTGTTTAATTTACAGCCCTTTTTACAAGGAAAATACTTTTTATACTTTCGTAAGTAGATTTTCCATTAGCCAGAAATATTAAAATTTACTGGAGCACAGAATGCAGACTGGTCAGGTGGGTGGGTAGATGTTGAGAGGTGAGACAGGAGCTCACTCAGGAGTTTTAAGGAAGCTTGATGATAAAATGTTGCTTTGCCAAGCATGATGTGCAGCCTTTCTGCTTCAGATTACTGTGGTTCCAGACAAGTGTAGCTGGCGCCACACAATCCACCTTTTAGTTGTGGTGGTTTTGAATCTAGAGGATGTGTAGGAGCTGCCATACATTAAATCTGGCATCTCTGCCTGGGAGAGCAGTGGGAAGTATATTACAAAAACGGAACTGCTCTTGGACATGGGGATGCATGTGGTAGTTTGGGGAAGAATCAAAGTGACTTCTGGAGAAGGAAGTTGCACTTCGGAAGTTGCTTGGAATTTCCTTCTGAAACAGTGACAAATATGAGGCAGACTGAGATGTGCACTCACACCTGGAACTGCAAAAGGCTGCATACACATGGCTTGTGGAGAAATCGTACAGCCACATGGTCAGATGGTGTTGCCACACAGGTGAATGAGAAGGCGAAAGTTACAAAGCAGCTTAGAAGTGAACTGGGTGAGTTGTAGGGAGGTCACTGATGGAGTCTTGGAGTGTTGAGAAAGGCATGCAGAGGAGAAAAGGAAGGTAAAGGAAAACTGTGCAGGAGTTTCTCAGCAGAAATTCATAGTGTAGGTTACAGGTTGGACAGGAGCCAGCTGAGGAGAGCCATTGTGGGCATCTCCTGAACAGTGGATCCTGAATGCTGCAGACAGTGCTTGTGTTTGGGAGAGACAAGGCATGTTTATTCTCCATCCACTGATGGGCTTCAGGTGCAGTCAGCAAGTTGTAGTTCAAAGCTGGAAGAAGTAGTGCTCTTCAGACATCAGATGGTGAACCTGCAAGTGTGTGACAGCCATAATGCCCCCTTGCAGTTGGTCTGTGTGGATTAAAGAGCAGTGAGATAACCTTGGTCAAATGACTGCCCCACCACCCAATAGAAAAGTGTTTGTTCTGTCTCCAGGCATGCCTCAGCCAGAAGTAGCTGCTGGCTGGAAACTGCTGTGCTTTATGGCTGTCTCTCTGTTCATTTGGCATCCAGTATCAGAGACAGGATGCTTGGAAAGGTGGCGCTGGGGGCCAGTCTCATATAGCTGTTCTTTCCTCTTAAGTGCTTTTCCATCCATTGGCCTGAAACTCAAGTGTTCAGTAATGGACTAGTCTGTGAAGCCTGCTCTTGAAACCCCAGGAGCTGATGCTGTAGGAACCATTAAAGTGGTGCAGTGGACTCATTTCCAGTGGTCTGTGTTTTATGACTGCAGAAGAGCATGTCTCGGGAGCCTGAAGTGGTAGGATGACTGTGTATGTGTCTGTGCACCACTTCATGGCAAATTAAACAATTCCTTTTGTTGAGACACTTGAGCAAATACCCTGCATAGATGCTTGTTTTCCAAGTCTGTGATACAAGAGTCAGGAGAGTTGTTTCATTGGGAACCTGTGTATTTGTCAGAAGATGCTTCAGTCAAGCTGGCGTGGACTCTTCACTCCAATTTAGGGAGTGCTCCTGATACGATGTCAGGGGAGAGAAGAAGATCTTAGTTCTCCTCACTAAGGGCCTTGGTCTGAAAAAGCTGTCCAGGATCAGAGGTTATTCCAGAGAGGGATGTGGAATAGTAAGAAAACACTGTTTCTGAGTGCTTTTCTGTGTGTGTATTTATATCCATGTATAAGCGTGTGTTGTACATTCACACGTGCATATGTATCTGTATACACACACAGGCATGCACATATCCTTGTTTTTTGGCTCCAGGGATTCCAGTGTAATCTGGGATTCCTGAGAGGCAAGTAATGAATTAACTCTTGTTACGAGAAACTTGGCCCTTGAGCTGAATTTCATTTACTCCATGGAGATTAGCAGCAAGTATTTACCTAGTCCAGGAAGGATGAATGCAAAGCTAAATCCCCAGTCTCTCTACTCACTTTACAAGTAATATAGATTACCTAACTAGCTGGACAGATCTGTGAGTGATAAATGGGATTTTGTTTACCTCTTCTTGTTCTTTTAAAGAAAAATTAAAATGCTTTCATCAGGAGTGAATGGTCTACCTCATAACCTCCACTTTTTCAGGGAGAAATTTTGGTTATTACACAGACTCACAGAATGCTAAGGGTGGGAAGGCAGCTCGAGAGATCGTCTAGTCCAACCCCCCCTGCCAGAGCAGGACCACCTAGAGGAGGTCACACAGGAACACATCCAGGCAGGTTTTAAATGTCACCAGAGGAGACCCCACAACCCTTCTGGGCAGCCTGTTCCAGTGCTCTGTCACCCTCACAGTGAAAATGTTTTCCCTGTGTTTCTGTGGAACCTCTTGTGTTCCAGCTTGCACTCGTTGCCCCTTGTCCTGTCACTGACCCTCACAGAGCAGAGCCTGGCTCCAGCCTCCTGGCACTCGCCCGTTATGTATTTATAAACATTAGTGAGGTCACCCCTCGGGCTCCTCCAGCTACAGAGACCCAGTTCCCTCAGCCTCTCCTTGTCAGGGAGATGGTTATAGAATAAATCTCTACAGGAACAAACTTTCATCATCTGGACTCCTTACCAAAAGCAATTCTGAAGTGATAATTGCTGGTCATCTCTACTTGTTGTGTCTTACTACTCTACTCTGCTGATAAAATACAGTATAATCCTACCACTGATATAGTTTCATACCAAACTAACACACTAACAAGATACATGCCATGTTAAAGTCATTGTTGGTGGCAGTGTGGAAACGAATTTGAGTTAAATCTGCCTTCTTCTCTAGTAGAACTGTCTCTTTGCTACTTCAAGGACAAGGGCACAGCAGGCAGGACTACCTCCTGGTCAGAGTTTGTAATACCCTGTGGGCTCACGATCCACTGAGGCAGTGTAATCCTGGGAAATTGCTATCATAATTAGTCTCTTAGATTTAAGTATACATAAAACACTTCTGTCTCAGTCTGCTTTTTAAATGTTGGCTTGAATTTTTAAGGATTAAGGTAGATTTAGTAAATGGGTTCCAGAAGTCCATACAGAAATAGGCTGAGGAGATAGAGCTTACATGAGCTCTTAGTAACAGTGGATAAAGTATTGAGTGCCAAAGGGCTGCTTCAAATCTGTAAGCCTTTTTCTAAGGAACAATATTGTGTATGGTTGTTATTCAGGGCTTGTCACTTGTAGGATGTACACAGCCGCAACAGTCTTTTTGAGGAGTGTACCAGGAAAACAATACCTATAATCTCTCTTATTTTAACTGCTAGAACATGGGTTTGCAGTTGGTAATTTTCTTTGGATTCATGTAATTCTTCCCCAGCCCGTATCTTGTTTTACTGAGGAGAGGCCAAGCTTTGCACAGTGCATGTGAATCTTGTCACTGTCCTGTTGTTCAGTGGCCACAGCTGCTCTCAAATCCTCTTCTTCTGGGGAAATTTTAGTTCTCAATACAGACTTGTGAGACAAAATACTTAGCAGTATG